CTTCTAGACTTCTTCCAAAATGAGTATTTCGACAACAAGTATGAAGTGTTGAATGTGCTGTTCCAGGGGGGGAAAAGAACAGAAATGAAATACTTTTCTCAAGTGCTAACAGTATGCCTACTAAAGAACAAAAACTGTATGCTGAAATCGCAGCATTAAACCAACAAAGAAAAGCAACTTCTCCAAGGAAGTCCTTTAAGAGTTCGACTGTTCTTGCAAATAAGGCTGATGCAATTATGGCTGGAGCCTCTGGCCGGTGAAATCGGGGGAGGGCCCAGCCTGGAGGACTCTTGTGCCACCCGGGAAGGACTCAGAGAGCGGCATCGCTGCAGCTCCTCTCACATCATCCTTGCTGCTTTGGGCTTTTGAGCTAGATGGGACTTCAGCATGGCCTTGTATCTTCAGCAGTGTATCACTGGAGTCAGTTATTCTTTATTCTTAGACAATAAGGGTGGGGGTTTTTGCTTGCTTGCTTTTTTCCCCTGAATTCAGAGCCTGACCACGTATTTGCAGTGACTGATCACAAATGCGGAGGCTAACTGACAAAACTATAAAGATAAGCTCACCACAGCATGTCTGAGGTACACAGACCAGATGCAATATCTGTAAATAGTTGTGAAAAAAATAATCCCAGAAGTTGCATGTAAAACATGTCAAGAAATTAATGGGCCAGCTCCTACACAGAAATTTTTCGATACTAGTCATCTACAAATTGTCTCCCACAGGCTTCTTATTCACAAAGCTGAAACATGCTTAAAAGTGTAGAAGGGAAGGCAAGAGTGCTGAGTGGACACTTGAGTGACTGGCTTTAGGAGGAGCAGTGTCTCCCTCCCTCCCTCCCTGCAGCTTTGCCTGCTTACTGCCTCCCATCACAGGAGATGAGCAATACGAGGGCATCACAGTGCCATCAGTTGGCTCTACAGCACGGCCAAAAAGCAAAAGGAAAACATGTAACCAAAAAAAAAAAAATTGAATAAATATTCTAGCATGGCCTTAGATTTCAGCTAAACGGTGGCTCATCTTTCCCAAAAATGGTTAAGATGCACTGGGTTCATGAATCTATATAGGCAAACACAAGGAATTTAAGTGGGGTCTGAGGCTCTTCTCCTTCCAGGACAGGAGAAACACAGATAGGTGACAAAGCTTGTCAGAGTTTGGTGGAGTGGCACGTAGGGAGTTCTGATAAAAAAGCAGGTATCAATGGGATGGATCTGTGTTTTCCCAGGAATTCTGAGGTTTATGGGATGAGAGATTCCCCCCAAAAGGACTTCAGGGAGTGGTTTTCTACTTTTTCTGCTAAAGGTGGTGTTAACAGACACCTCCATACTGAGTGGAGGGGTCTGTTTAGGCACACTTCGTAGGAACAGTATTTGAACCTCTTAGAAAAACGGACCTGATGGGGAAGTCTTTCATTAAATATTTGCTAGGAATCCACAAATTTACTTACCTTCTGCAAGATTTGCCCCATATTTGAAAGGCTGAGGGAGCTGGGTCTCTTTAGCTTGGAAAAAAGGAGACTGAGGGGAGACCTATTTAATGTTTACAAATATGTTAAGGGCAAATGTCATGAGGATGGAGCCAGGCTCTTCTCAGTGATGCCCAACGATAGGACAAGGAGCAATGGGTGCAAGCTGGAACACAGGAGGTTCCGCTTAAACTTGAGAAAAAACTACTTTACAGTGAGGGTGACAGAGCCCTGGAACAGGCTGCCCAGGGAGGTTGTGGAGTCTCCTTCTCTGGAGACATTCAAGACCCGCCTGGACGCCTTCCTGTGTAAAATTGTTTAGGTTCCTGCTCCGGCAGGGGGATTGGACTAGATGATCTTTCGAGGCCCCTTCCAATCCCCAACATTCTGTGATTCTGTGATTCTGTGATATCTCGTGCCTGTTAGGAGATACAAAGGTTGCATGTGGCCAAAAGAACATGCACAAAGAAGATGCACTTCAGTGTCTTGGTATATAGGTGTTGCGTACTGGAAACACGTCTTGCAGAAACATGCTAAAGGTGAAGAGAGGGTCTATTGCATTTGCCAAAAGCTTAGAAAAATACCTCGTGCCTTTCTAGTGATAAGGACATCCCTTTCATACACTGTTCAGAAGGCTACACCAGAAGGGGTTTGTGGAAAGGAAATTGTAACAGCAGAAGCATATTTAGTTGCTTGTAACTGGATGTGGTTGCATTGAAAAACACTGGCTAGAGCGCTGAAAACTTTACATGCCTTTTTTCCTCTTTTTTTCTTAGTATGTGCTGACAACGAGAATGAACTAGAGGCAGACCAGCAGATGGACAACTTGTACCTGAAAGCTTTGGAGGGATTTATTGCCGTGGTGACACAGGATGGAGACATGATCTTTTTGTCAGAGAATGTCAACAAATACATGGGTCTCACCCAGGTAACGTGTTCCCTAACACTTTCCTGTCTTTGTAATACGATTCCCAGAAACAAGTTCTATGCCTAAATGCAGAAAAACAGCTGGTGTCACTGCAAAAAAGGCTGGAAATAAAATTTATTATTTCTCAGGCAAGTACCCTGAACACCAGACAACATCTGTGGTGTTTCGTTCTTCCTATCAAAGTTGTAGTGTCTTTGGTGACTGCAAACTTGCCTTTGTAGATATTGCTGTGGAGAGGAGAATGGGGTTTATTCAACTTGTGCCTTAGACTATGGGACAGAGGAGAGAGAGCTGCTCTTTTGGGCCCCCCCTTTTCTGCTTTGTTGCTTAGGGTATTTTCTCCTTCTGTTTTGGAAAAAAACTGGTGGTGCTGACTGTCATTGCATTGTGTAAATCCAAAGACAGAGAATTGTTCTGGGGAGAAAAGTAGAAGTTCTGCATAGGATAAACAAAGGAAGGGTCACCAGTTTGTGTCTGTACGCATCACTGGATCTCAGCAAACAGAGCAGATGGTTTAGGGATGCTAGAAAAATGGGTGCAGCTTTTGTGATGGGAAGGTTGTTCTCCTGATTCCCAGTCTGCATCCTCTCACACCTGGATTGGGATGTAGTTAAAGACAGCCAAAACCTTTAGAGGATGGCGGTTGGATATATGTGCACTTTAGTGCACCCGCTCTAGTCACCAGTTTGATGTGGTTGTGGAGTCAAGGTAAACAGGTTAACTACAGGACAGAGCACAAAATACCAATAATGGAGAATGAGTTAAACCTACTGACCCACTGCGCACCACTGATTAGACCACAGTCAAATTTGTCATCTTGATTCCTCTTAATTCCCCTCTGAAAATCCTGGAAATGAGTCCGAAGCTGCTGTTAATGCACTTAGTTCTAGTGACCAGCTTCATCTGAATAGGTAGTACATAAAAACAGATAAATACTTCTAGTTGCTTTTATGTGGCTAAATATAGCTCTTATTTCTGCACAGGTGGAATTAACTGGACACAGCATTTTTGACTTCACTCATCCATGTGACCATGAAGAAATTCGAGAGAATCTGAGTCTGAAAAATGGTAATAATGAAAATAGAAAAGAGTCACTGTTTGCTTTTTAAATAACCAAATAAAGTAATTGACTGGTAGTAGAGATCCATCAGACATGGTACAGGGAAGTTTCATTCCTAGAGTAATCATGATCTGTTATTCAGTACTTTACAGATTTGTTTTGTTTTGCCAAATATTGCTTATATATGCTAACACTAAAAATGTTTTGTTTAGTGTTTTCCTTTCATTAAGACAAGTATAATGTTTTCATTTGTAATGCTTTGCAAAGATTTATGTGCTGCAAGCTAAAACATAGGTTTAAATGCACAAAGTCCTGTTTAAGTTCCACTTGAAGTTTTAGGTCTGATCTCTACAAACTGCTCTTCAATAGTCCATGCATCTTTGATGGTCTCTGCAGGTAAATTTTCTGAGAATTGCTCTGTTATTTCTGTTGAATCCTTCCTGCTTGTACGTAGAAGAAATCAAGAAGCAAAACTGAGAAAACTGATTTGCCATTTTCCTTATACAGGTTCAGGCTTTGGAAAGAAAAGCAAAGAGGTGTCAACTGAGCGTGACTTCTTCATGAGGATGAAATGCACTGTTACCAACAGAGGCAGAACTGTTAACCTCAAGTCTGCCACATGGAAGGTACCATATTTGAACCATAAGAAGTGGGGGTTTTATTTTAAAAGATATTTTGGCATCTGAAGAAAGTACATTCTAAGTTTGTTTCTCATTCAAAAAATCATCATTTCAGGTTTTGCACTGCACTGGACAAGTTAAAGTGTATAACACTTGCCCTCCTCACACTCTGTGTGGGTATAAAGAGCCTCTTCTCACCTGCCTTATAATAATGTGTGAGCCTATTCAGCATCCTTCAAACATCGATATCCCCCTGGACAGCAAGACCTTCCTGAGTCGCCATAGCATGGACATGAAATTTACCTACTGTGATGACAGGTAAACTCCACTGATTTTTTCCTTTCTGTGGGTGCTTCTATCTTCTTGAACAAAGCAAGCAGTCTTTCCAAATGTCCTCCTGTGTGGACATGGTGAGCAAGGGCTAGAAGAAAGTACAGTCTTTTATCAAGACGGCTATTAAATGGCTTACTTAATCCATTTCAAACCTCAGTTTAGGCAAAACAGTACTGGTGCTGCATCTCTTCCTCCTGCTGAGTGAGGAATTCAAGTTCACTGGCAGAAGATGAGGCAACTTAGAGCCATAAGCATTTGCTTCTTGGGTTTTAGCAAACTGAAGAGTACACGGGATTTCTGTTCTCATTTTTTAGAGAACATCTCAAACAACATGCCTTATGGACCTTAGTCAAGGACTGTCTTACAGCTGGTTTGGTGCAGGATGCTATCACCAGTTAGCTGGAAAGTACTTTATGCTCTAGATTAACTAAGACTTCTAAGGCATCCAGAGCATCTGCAGCTCTGAAATGGGGTTGCAGCCTCTTGCTCAATGAAAAGCAAACAAGCTTTGCTGGTTATCTACCTACTCCTTTTAGTGGCGAAATGAAGGGGAGGGGAAGATCTTGGGTCAAGCAAGGGGTATGTCCTCCAGTCCCCACATTTCCCTATTGAGTGGAAGAATGGAGATCTCCCTTGTCTCTGCCTCCCTGGTTTCCCCTGGGATCTCTATGGCATTTCATACCATCTTCTCCCTGTCTACGTATTGGGGTAACCATCTTCCCTGCCTGTGAGTGAGCCAGAGATCCCTTCCCATGAAGTGTCCTTCTGTTCCCTGTTTTCCCAGAAAGTACTGCTGTGGGTTTGGTGTTTGTTTTGGGGTTTTATAAGTTTACGAGATCATCCCTGAATTTAATATAAGTTTTGTGTCTAATGATATTGGTCTTCTGAAACTCAGAGATGCCAGCGACCGCTGAGGTCTGGAGGGTTATCAGTGCGATACGTACGCTCACAGTTTACACAAAAACTCACAGGACTGAGATCTTGGGGTTTTTTTTTTTCATCCTTCATATGTTTTTTAAAACTTGTTCTAAGCAAGATTATTATTTTAAACAATGTGATGAAGCAACAGTATAAACTAGCAGTGTTAGCAGCTGTGGATGAAAGCAAGGTTACAAGTGTGAAACTTGTGACCGACCTTCTGACCTCCCTGAGAATTTAGCAGCAAGTGTGCTGTAACTAGAAATGGTCTCTGATGTAACTGCAATAAAACAATATTTTTTTTCTTGTTAATATTTTCAGAATGAAAATATTGAGATATCAATAGGATTTTGCTGCTGGGGGGGGGAGCAACAATATGGTAGTGACTCTGTTAAAAGCAATGTACCTCTGACTTACTGGGGCCATTCAGTGGCAGCTATAGAGGGGAGTAACAGAGGATTTTGCTGTAATGCAGCATTCGTGTCTCTGCCAGACTTGATGCATAAGCAATTATAAATGAGAATTAGAGGGACTGATACTATCCCATTAAAGATACACATGCTTATTTGAAAGAGAATGAAATATTATGCTGTTTCTTCAATAGTGGCAGTTGATTTACAGGGAGAACTTTTCATCTGGCAGTGAACTACAAGAGCTTCCTCTGGAGGATTTAACTTGTAAGGAATTTTGGAGATTTCTCTTTAAAACCAGGCAACAAAACAGCATGTCTTTTACTAGATAGTTTTGGTTGGATGTTTCATTCATGTTTTATTGAGATTATGATAAAGCTGCAAAAAGCCAGCCAGGCCACAGAAGGAAGAGACCTCACATACCTTTCAGGTTCTTCCCAGCAGATCCTCTGGACTCTCGCTTCCCTCCCAGAGGGATGCTGATTTCTCTCACTAGACACGTAAAAACGCAAACCACTCAGCTGTCCTTATCAAATTTGGTGCTGCTAGACAAATTGCATTGAAGGAGCAGCTTATGCCGAGAATGTAAATCCAGGCTGGGGCGGGGGGGGCAGGAAAAGCAGCATGTGCCAGTCAGATGCCTAAACCCTTTTCAACCTGCTCTGGCCTTTCTGCAGTGAAGCTGCAGGGCTGACACAGGTTGTTGCTCTGTAAGAAGAGATTGTGGCTTTCCAGTTCAGGGCTGATATTGAGCGCAGCGTGCCTCCTCTCACAGGCTTCTGCCGCCATCCGAGTATCCCCTTTACAGTTCATCTGGTGTGGATAGGTCTGCTTCCAGGGAGCATTAAGTGTTTATTTTTTGAAGCATTCAGTTAGAGAAACTCTAGGATTTCTGAGGCAGCACCTTAATGAGTGGCAGCTGTGCTGGACCTTAATAATGGAAGCATCCACCTTCAGCATGAAGCTCAAGCGGGTATAAAAGAGCTGTGCTTGTACATGAAGCTGAAATTTATCCTTGAGGAAAATGAGGATCACATCTGTCATCTCCTTAGGAGAGCTCATAGTCTCTGTCTGTGAGAAAGCAACATGCAAAATACACGCTGGCTACCTTTCAACACTTTAACAAAAACTAGTTGGCTGACATGAAGTGCCTTGATTCTTTTGGCTTTTCCTCAGGAGGGTATGCAACAGATGTGATACGAAGCAGGCTCAAGACTGTCCTTCCCTCATTTAAATGTGAGACACTAGCCCATATATTTTGCCTTCCAAAAATAATTTATATATGTGTGCCAGTGGTTAGGTGGGATATATTTGTATTCTTAAACCAGCTTTTGCAAGGTGATGAGCCTGTAAAGAAAGGTTTGTGAGGCATAAATATTAACAATAGGTTGTTCTGTTAAATGCCTGCTTCAGCCGTTCCTGGAGAGCAACTGAAAAATGTTCCCTTGCTCCACTTATCTTGGCTAAGTGGTTTACAGGAAGGATTATTTTAGCTGTAATACGGAAATGCTGATCAGTGGTACAATTCAGTAATTCAAGTGAGGATTTAATTCAGCTGAACAATGATTTTTTGGCAGGGAAGAACTCCAGGGAGGATATTTTGGTCAGAAAAAAAGGTCCAACTTGGTAGGAAGGCAGTTTTGTTACCTAGGTGGCAGAGCTGATGCTCCATGTACCTTCCCATGCAGCGCCATGGGGGCTGTGGGTAGATAGAAATAGCAGCAATATGTTTCTGTAGCAAAAAAATCCACAAAACAAAAGTGAAAACTGTATTTGATAAAAAACCCCAAACTACTTCAGGTGCCCCAGCACGTGCAGTCTCAGTGTCCTGGTTTGCCTTTTTGTTTTACACATAACAAAAGAAAACCATATGCTGTGTTTCAGAGGGGACCAGGGTTTTGAAAGCAAGGAGGGTGAGGTGGCCCTGGCTTTTCACCTTCATCCCTGTGACCTTTCTGGGGTGCTGGAGAGGGGAGGAGGAAGCGCTCTTTGCCCATAATTGCTGTGGGCAGCATGCAAGAGAGGAGGGAAGGCTAAGGACACAAATCTGCTCTGCACAGAGCAAGATGTGCAGGCGGCAGCTCCAGAGGTTGTGTCACAAGCCAGTTTCCTGGCACTAGCATGCTGAAAAGATTGTGTTCTCCATTACTTTGAAGGCATGACTTGCTTTGGGGAACTGTCTGTTTCCAGTTACAAGAAACCCAATTAGTTACAGTCTTTTTTACTTGAGTGGAACATTTTAATGGAAGAGTTGAAGAAGAAAGAGGAGAGATGCAGGATATGTGGTGATTCGGAATAGGATGATGCAGGAAGATGCAATGCCAATAATGTTGGTCCCAGTTAGGTTTCTCCTAATAAGAGTTTACATGTGGGATCCAGGCTGTTCCCGACTGAGAGAAAACTGAATTGTATTGTGCTTCCAGTTATGTCCCAGTAAAACAGCAATATGCAGGCACAGGGCCCCATATGAGGGTTTAAGCCAGTTTGCCATTTGACCTATATTTGGGAAATATTTTTAAATTATGTGAGGATGCACATAAGCATTTGAAAGGACCTCCTGTCCCTCCATCCCTGCTCAGGGGGAAAATGCATTATGGAGATAACGGTGAAGTCATGATACCTGCAGCCAGAGATCCGCAAAGATTGGCAAAACTGACTTTTTGTGTATGCCATTTTTAAGAAAAAATATGACCAACTTATTTTGTTAATAATGAAACTTTGATTTAGACCAAATGAATAGGACAGGTGAAGTTTTCAATGTACCCCTCTAGTTATTTTGCCTAGCAGGACAGATAAACCTGACCAGGCTAGCCATCCCTCTAAGGAGTGGATAGGGGTCCCAGAATTTTGCATTTTATTTTTCTCTTTGGCCTGGGTTAGAGTAGAAGAAGCCATGAATTATTTTCAAGAGGTAATGTGGGTACTTGGCAGGACTGCCACGCTGCCCTGCCACCTGCTCTAGCAGGCTGGCCGAGTGCCTTACCCAAGGCACAGGGGCTGTGTTGGGCTTTTCTCTCTTTCTCTCTCTCTCTCTTTCTCTCTCTCTTTCTCTCTTTCTCTCTCTCTCTCTTCCTCTCTCTCTTTCTCTCTCTCTCTCCCTCTCTATCTCTCTTTTTCTCTCTCTCTTCCTCTCTTTCTCACTTCCTCTCTCCCTCCCTCTCTTTCTCTCTCTGTGTCTCTTTTCTTTCTTCCTCTCTCTCTCTTTCTTTCTCTATCTCTTTCTCTCTCTCTCTTTCTCTGTCTCTTTCTCTCTTTCTCTCTCTCTCTCTCTTTATTTCTCTCTCTCTTTCTCTCTCTCTTTCTTTCTTTCTTTACTCATTCTGCTTTAAGTATAAATTTATTTGTTTGTTTGTTCCCGTCAAGACCAATTTAACTTCAATAACGTGGTAAGAGTTTGAATACAGAAAGACTTTGTTAAGAGATCCACACCCTCACACACACAGTCCACACACAGCCCGACTAATATACACCCAGCTCTTTTTTTGTGAGCAGTAAACATTACAGCAGTCTTTCACAAAGAGCCTGACTTCTCAGTCCTGACGGTTCTTACATTCTATTTTAACTCAAGAAATGGTAGACAATAAAAAGCTTTGTGTCTCTATAAAGAGGCAGAAAAGCACAATTTTAAGAAAAAACAAACCACTTGAAAAAGCTCATCTCTTAGGAGCTGTAGCCTTTGAAAGAGAGAGCTTTGTTTATTTTGCCATGTCTCAAAGAAATAAAGTAGGGCTAAGTTATACAAATCTAGAAATAGGATTCAGATCACTTGTTTTTCCATTGTGTACCCTTAAGCACAAAACTTTGCCTTTACTCCACATCCCAAGAAATGGGTATATTAAGAGAAACTGAAGTAGTCCTCAAAAGCATTTAAATAGCGGTAGTTGGGACAGATCCACTACTGCAGAGGGCTACTGCCCACCTCTTTCATGTGTTTTCTGAGATTTTGACCTCAGTACATCATGGTGACAAGTTTAGCTCAGAAAACCGAAGGGCCAGACTGGCAAAATTAAGATTCCCCCAAAGGTATTTGTGTTTCCAGAAACGAGTGGCTAACAGGAGAATAAACAGTCTCTCAGCCCACTTGTCGTCTTCAACAAAAATTATTATTATCCAATTAGCACCCATTTAACTTTTACAAATGCAAAGGAAACACAAAGCCTGCCATGGCAGGAATGGCACCCAAAACCACCATACAGTTTGTTTTCCAATTTTGTCATTCCATAGCTTGCACAAAGAGCAATTTTCTGTCTGGTGTCTAAGCAAAAGTAGAAGTCTTGTGTCCTGGACTCGGGTTTCGTAAATGACCCTTTGGTCCCACGGGGCACGTAGTTTCTGTGACTCTCTTAGTTGTGTACTCCTCCTCCTCCTCCTCACAGCTCGGTAGGATGCTTTTTCCTTTGCACTTAGCCCTCTGTGTATTCCCTTGGCATTTTGTATTGCTAAGAGGCTCCTGTGGAAAGCACATGGTGTTTGGAGGGTGCACCTCTGGTGAACCTCAAAGCGATGCTCAGGTGAGGTCAGTGCAAAGACCTTTGCTGAAGCACTTGCTGCCTCCTGGCCCAGGTGCTGTTCAGGCTGTCAGCTGTGGCCAGTCTTCTTCCGTGAGTGTCTTGGGAGAGTCACGGGACGGGTGTGATGGGGACAGGGATAGCTGCCCGCCTGGGCCCTGGTGCATAATGCAGCGTGGAATTGGCTAATCTGATTTCCAGCCCTGCGCTGCCTGCAGCCTGGGAGCCTTTTTTAACCTTTTCAGAGTCAGCAGCACCAGAGGGGGAATAAAGGAGGGCGTGATCTGCCAGTGCATGTCCCAAGGAACAATACTGCTAACAATTCTTGGAGAGGGGGTGTTTGCTATAAAATAGTGGTATTTAAAAATGTATGTAGGAAACACTGTCAGTCAGATCTAGGGTTTTTTGCAATGGGAGAAAGGAACATTCTATAATTTTTTTAAAAATCATTTCACTCCCAGGAGTGTTTAAAGATAAATGTTATGAAATTGAATAGTGGTGACAGATTAACAGATCAATTAACAAGGGCATAGAGGCTGTTTATCCATTTTTTTAAATAAAGTAACTATTTTAAAACAATTACTCTTGATTAGGATTTCACTGTTACCAGGTGTTAGTTTAGAATTTGACCAGTGTTGTGGGGTTTGTGGGTAATTCTCTGATAACTTATTTTTATCACTCTGTATACTTTTTAGTTGGTTGTAGTAAAAAGCTATCAACCTACTACTTGCTAACTTTCATCCAAGATTACATTAGTTCTAATTAAATTTTACATCATCACAGTAGGATCCCACCACAAGTTGTTCTATGCTACAAAGTGACAAGAAGGGTAATTTTATAGTGAGCACCCTTGTTATGAACTGATCAGTGAGGAGCAATTTGAGAGGGGAATTACAGGATTGGAATAGACTGCAGTTCCTATATGATAAGTTAAGATTCCCTCAGCCTGCTGTAATGCATGTTTTTTGCTTACTGTCTCAGTTCCACTGTTGACACCCATGAAGGCTGTAATGTGGCTTTGGATTTGCGTTGGTGCTACTGGGTACATGATGTTTCTTTTTTTTTTTCTTTTTTTCCCATTATCTTGATTTCATTTTCCTTCTCCTCACTCAACCCCTACTCGGCTCTTAACTCCCAATGACTGGATTAAGAGTAAATCCTCAACTTCCTGAATTTTAAAAGCCTTTCCCTTGTGATGAGCTCCAAACTAACCAGGATGGTTTTATGATACTATGCCATTATATGCCAAAGGCCATAGTTTCTGTTTTTAAAGACTGTGTATTTACACTGGTCCTGGCAGAAGCCCCATGCCACTTACACCAGTGTGTCCCAGCTGACTGTGTAAAGGCAAGCAGCAACTGTATTTTGGGAGCCTTGCTTTTATTAGGGCTTCTCTGCAGTTGGTGTTTTCTCCTGATGGTTCAGCTCCGACTACCAACTCATTATCAGAACTTCTGCTTTTATTAAAAAAGAAAAATCGATGGTGGTTTCAGAGAAAAGTTACAGATTTGACTGGAGTTGCAGTATAAAAGCTCAGAAGGTTGTCAGTGAAGAGAGTCAAAAACGCAACTCTTTGAAACTTGATTCAAGAATTTTCCCTTTGTTGGTCTAACTGTAAGTGTAAAACTGTAAACATAGAGTAAGTCTTTAGGGGGAACCCAAAAAACCCACCTACAGTCTTTGCTCAGTTAAACCATTATAAACCCAGGTTCGTTCCATGGAAATCAGGACAGAGAGGAGTTTTCAGAGTGACAAAACCAAGATTCCTGGAGGTATGAGCTATGCAGGTCTGTGGAGGCGAGGGAAAGGCACTGACTCAGTGCCTTGGCGTTCAAAATATACACAAAATAGCTCCATCTTATGGGTCTTCCTTGCTGGAGGGGGATCCAGGAGATGAATGCCATGTTCTTGCTCTGTTTGTTTTACAGTATTTATAGGTCTATCTTGTAAAAACATGCTTGTGTCTGGAAGGCTGGGCCAAGGCTTTTCTTCCAGGGAGTACACAAACCTGAGGATCTCTCTTAAAAGTAGCAACACCACTGATCAAATGTGGTGGTGGCAGATAAAGCTTTGCCAAGGGAGTTAGTTACAATGCATAAAACCTTGGCACTACCATTGATGGCAGCAATGTGCTGCAAGATGTGACCATTCCTTTGCAAACCTCGCAGCTTTTCAAGGTTTATGACATCTTAGCAGTTTTTGATGCTGCTCTCTGCAACATTACAGGTTGTTATTGCAGTTGAATCATAGAATCATAGAATGGTTTGGGTTGGAAGGGACCTTAAAGATCATCCAGTTCCAACCCCCCTGCCATCAGCAGGGACACCTTCCACTAGACCAGGTTGCTCAAAGCCTCATCCAGCCTGGCCTTAAACACTTCCAGGGAGGGGGCATCCACAGCTTCTCTGGGCAACCTGTTCCAGTGTCTCACCACCCTCACAGGGAAGAATGTCTTCCTAATATCTAATCTAAACCTCCCCTCTTCCAGTTTAAAGCTAGGAAAAAGCATCCAAGAGTGTTGTGGCTGACTTGAAAAACAGTAATGTTTACTTCTTTTCCCAGGAGATACAGTATATTTGATTTTGAATGCATATAGAGGATTTTATATTTTTTTTTTAACTAACCATGTGTCCTGTAAAGTTTTGTGTGAGGGAATTTCAACTTGAATTTAGGAAGAAAGAACCCTTTTCCTCCACACCCTCAGTAGAGAAAATCATCTGCACAGTTTGACCTATTTTCATTTATTCAGGAACTTGTGAGAAATCCTGCCTTGCCCGAGTACTCAGAAAGGCTCTGAAAAAAAGTGTAGTTTTTGAGATCATCGCTTCCTTTGTGTAAAATCCTACTTAGTTTGTGGATTAGTCACCCAAGTAACCTAATCCATATGCTAAAGTTCTCATAGAATTGAGAAACACTTAAGTAGAAGAGCTGATTTTTTTTTTCTTTTAATTTCTCACCTTGTATTTTTATTTCATTAAATGCAATACCCAAAGTAGTGATTTAACCCTTTTATGTATGTTTTTAAAATGTAACCATACTTTTAAACCTGGTGGTGCCAACCACTACCCCCCTTACATGTGTTTGATTTTGAAGGATGGTAGTTGAGAGTTTCTGCCTGTAGTGGACAGCTTGAGAACTTTGTCAGCAATGGTTTTCCAGTTGAGACCTAGAAGAGATACTGTGCAACAGGCCTGGGAAAATTTGCAACACCTGTAATGGCATCCCTAAGAATTTTTATTCCAGTAATAATAAAAGGCAGTTTATTCTGAACATGGAAATATTTCCAAATGTGATCAGAAGTTCTCTACAGCTCCCAATGTGTTTGGAAGTTCAGAATTTCTCATTTTGTGGTTTTAATTCTGTTAGTCTAAGGGCTAGAGCTGACATAAGCATAAGGCTAAGGCGACCAGATTTTAAATATTTGTTTTACTCTTAATCAAGAATAACAGAGTTGATTGGATACCATCCAGAAGAGCTGCTGGGCCGTTCAGCCTATGAGTTCTACCATGCCTTGGACTCGGAGAGTATGACCAAGAGTCACCAGAACTGTAAGTCATATTCTTATTTTTGTTCATAGTTTGCACATAAAGCAACAGCTTTCAGGTACCTCAATGAGTAGTTGAAAATACAAATGCACCTTGTGTGCAGATATTCTCTGAGAACAGTATTTACACTTTGCAAGAAAGCTTACAGGTTACCATGCTTGTCTCGCTGAAACCTGCTGATGATCTTTCCAGAGGGTCTGGTTTTTGCCATAATTAAAACTAAACCTGGATGGTAGAGAGAACAATCACTCTTGCTCTTAGTGATAATACAAGGATCAGCTAAAAATTTGAAAAGCCGAGTTAGGCAGTATTAGCCTGGCAAGAAATGTCTTTACTGGTGGTATTAGCCTTCTGGCGTGCTGTTTGGCCCAGCAAGAAGAGCAACTGTAAAGGGTAATAGGAAGAGCTTATTGCAGTGCATTTTTTAATGTCTGTCTTCTGCTACCAAGTAACAACTATCTTCCCCACTCAAAACAGATGTGCGAGAAGACTTTCTAAAAGGGATAATCATTATACAAATAATATATACTGCCAGAACAGCTGCTTCTCATTAGCCTGAGGTCTATGTGAACTGCCAGTTTTAGCTTTTTTTAATGTAAAGTACCCAAATTATTCCGGGAGCAGAGATCAGATCCAAGATCTGCTTCCTCTCTTCAGCAGGCCACACAGTTACACTTCCTCTCTCTCTCTCACATAAAGTGTCTTAAAATTATTGGATTTAAATCTTCAGTCTCTGTCCTTAGAGTTGGCGCTCTGGCTGGAGACAGCACGGTGCACTAGTGTGCAAATGCCATTTCCCACCCTTGGCTATTGCAGCCACTGGGAGAGTTCTCAGCAACACATCACTAAAATGTCTGCTGCTGCTCTTTCTATTAATTAAAAAAAAAAAAAAAGCAGTCCATAAGCTAAAAACAAAACCCCCACCCCCCACCTCGTAGTTATCAAGGTCTCTTGTCCTCAGGAAAAAGCCCATGACTTAAGTCATGTCTATAAGGAATTGCCCATCAAATAGACTTACTGAAAGTATTTCTGTACTTCCCAGAGAAAAGTAGCAACAAATAACAACTGTCTGACCGTAAGAGGGAAAGGGAATATGTGTTAGCTCCAATGGCAAGGATTCAGGATAGTTTTGAGTTGTAATGTTACTTGAAAGACTGCTTGGCAGTGATTAAAGTTGGGTGCTGTAAAACAGTGTTGGTATGAATCATCCTGTTTCCAGAGCTGCTTAAAAGAAAGAAAGAAAAAAAAAAAGGAATGAAACCATACTTACAGAGAGTTGTCTGGGAATGTATTTGTTAAAATTGTTTCTTAAGTAATATGTTCATGTTTTTAACAGTGAAAAGGAATTAGTGATATTCATAGATAGGAAGTCTGTATCTGGTGCTGGGCTATCGAGAGTCATCCTTAGGAATCAGGGGGCATGCTGCACTCTTGCCTTGGAATTGTTGACTTGCATTTCTAAGCATGGGACACCAGTGAGAGGGTGAAATAGGAGCTGGCAATCTCTTTGGTAATAGGAAACAGAACAAGCCCTTGTTGGTTATCCCTATCTAGTTAGTTAAATGGGACCACTGAGCTGGGACTTGTCCGTGTAAAGATTTCTGGAGAGTTTCTAGTACCCACCTTGACCAGGCATTGATTGAGGTTGTTCGTCATTCTAGCAATTCAGTTCACCTCCTGTAGTGCAGAGTGGATGTCTAGATGCCATTTGTGCCTTCTGAAAAGGGCTGTGTCCTACCAACTTTTGCTATTGAGCATAAGGTCTCATTGAGAAGCAGAACGAAGGCAAGAGAAAGTCTACAGGGGTGAGTTATTCCAGCAGAAGTGCTCAAGGCACTGTGCACTGCACAGGTTATAAATATTTAGGATCAAACTGTTCCATAGTGTTTATGATAGCACAGGATCAGCATGTATGATCTTTACTGTTGGAAGCACAGGACCAAAGCCTGTGCTGTGATACATGCTGTTGCCCACAACAGAACCACCAGCTTTTCCATCACCAGCAAATTTGATCCCTTTAGTTTTTCTAAGATAAATCCTTCCCGTGTCTTCTAGGACAGTCAGGCTTCTTACCAACTGGGGACAACCATGAAGGCAAAATGACAGCACGCTGTGACTTGAGAAAACACACATAAGCCCTCTGAATAAGCAATCCTTAGATTTCATAATGTGTGCCATTGAGATGCTGTCTAATGCACAGGGTAACCAAGCAGGTACACAGCTTATACAGAACTTACTGTTTCTTCCTAGCACGTAGCTATACAGATCTTATTAGTTCTTCCTGGCCATGGTCATTTATATGTGGAAATATCCACCTCAAAATCCATGCTCAGCACACTTGTATTTATTAAACAATATTTTTTATTAGAAATATGCTGCGTATATTCATGCAATAATACAGTCATCAATTCTGACAGTGCCAACCATTTAGCGTTGTAAAGATGCATAGGAAATAGAGGAAGGAGACTGAAGTTTGGAGAGAGAGAGGAAGAAAAACCTCAGATTAGTCTCTTGGCTAGAAGCAGAAGTCCTTCCCTTTCTTTCTTTCTTTCTTTCTAATTTAGTGATAAATCATGCTTTTTGCAGTTTTACTGTACTGCAGGATTGGTTTGGTTTTTATTTTCTTGAGGTGAAATAACAACGTCACATTTAAACAAGCCACAACAGTGTTTGTGTTCTTGGCTGGAAGTACAGTTGCGTATAGAGTATGAAAATCTTAATTAGTCACCATCAAATGGAAGATTAGAGTGCATTTGGCAGTATTTAGTATACACAGTTTTTCACATGTTATGCAAGCAAGAGGAAAATCTCTGTCTTGTTACATAAATCTACACAAAAGATTGACTGCAGAGCTGTATTTTCGAATTCAGCGATTAATAATCTATAATCGCTTCCATGTAGAGTCTGGTCTGGTTGCCATTAAAGCCAGTGGGAACTTTGCTATTGACTTCAGTGGGGAGCTGACTGTCACCACCTGGGACCTGCCACTGGTAGTACGTAGCAGAAGTTCAACAAGCCTTCAAAGTGAATCACATTCTCAAGTGTCTCAGCAATTAAAAAACAAATTTTCTGCTCAATTAAATTCATCCCTGCCTTCCCCCTTTCTCCACCCAAAGATAAGGAGTGTAAGTGGAGTCTGTTTCACCGAGATGTTACTAATTCTGTAAAGATACAGGTAATGTATACCTAAAACAAAAAAAAAAAAAAAAAAAAAGAGACGTTCACTCTGAAGGCAGAACCTTAAATGTAGCGTTCATAACAAGGTCAGCAGTTACAAGTGTATTAGTAATTTATGAGATTACCCCACAGAGGGATTGTGCTGTCCTTTATTATATCAGAACATGACATGCTTTGGATAATAATAATAAAAAAGATTAAAGCAGTAAAAAGCTTCTTTGTAATGTAACAGGCGCCTACACTGTGACTCTTATTGATGAGCTGATGATTAGGAAGCAGTGTAATTATGTTTCACAAGCAGAGCAGAACAGTCCAGACACTAAAACACTTTGAAATGAAAGCCTTTTGATTTTGTTCCACCAGAAGTATTTAATCAATAAAAGTAATGTTCTACTTCGTCTAAATAAATTAAATGAAGGATGATTAAATACTCCTAGGAAGAAAACAAACAAAGTTCAGAGACAGAAGGATGAACACAGCAACAATTATCTGCAAAACAGTTGTTGCATTTCACAGGCCTGGATTTGTACATTTGTATGGTGGTGATGTAGGAGAGACTGACAATAAATAGCTTCTGTTAATGGCCATATTCACAAGGAATTTTTCTGTACAAAGACTGCAGAATCAAGTTTCCAGCCTTACTGAGTCAAATTCCATATTTTTAGGGCATTAGTTTGCTGGCATACTGTCTTCAGGCACAAAAGTTGTTTAAAAGGAAAGAAAGAGTGCCAGTGTGGTCAGACATTTAGTTTGGCCATTTCCCACTTTTGCTGCCCCGTGCAACTACATCTGCTTACAAATACCAACTCTTATTAGTGCGAGTACTGCTTGCATACTCCAGCCCAATTTTATTGCCATTGATCAACAGTATTTTTCCTTAACTGACAACTGTGAATTGCATGACAATATCCATTGCTTTTAGGAAAGGATTTACAACAGACAGGACATGATAAAACTTTACATCTCAAAAGTCCAAAGCTCCATACTGAAAACTCATTCTCTTCAAATATTAGAGAATTTTTGGTGGGGGGGAGATTTCACCCTTTTTCTCCTAAGCAAAATAGTCCAATTTACCATTCTTAATTTTGATACTCTTTTAAGTATCAAAAGATATTACTTCTTCAGCCTCTTACGACCAGTGCTGTGCTAGTGACACCGTCACTTTATTTGTGGTCTTGAGATCTCCAGCTCCTGACTCAAAGGTATGAAGAGATAGGTATAGATTTGAACAATGAGGGGTTTGGGGGGTTTTTTTTTGTGAGTACAGCTTTGAAATCATCTGACTCTCAGGCTTATCCATCACCTAAATAAGTAAACTATTAAATAGTTTCCTAAGCAAATTCAGTTTTCTACAAATCAACTTGGGAGCCCAAACTGAGGCACATCGAGAACACGGACTCTCAAGAAACACGCAGTCAGCAGGCATTATTTTGGGGGCAGTTGGCATCTTATATTAAATTTTAAAAATAACACTCTCTGATCTGAATACTCAGACCATCTCAAGAACTCAAATGCCGGAACTCAAATTTCCAATCTTGCCTGGAAACCTCAAAGGAACAGCCCCTTTTATATTTGAAATGGCTGAATTTTCCCAAAGTTAAGCATCCTTGCTAATAGATGTCTCTGTGCAGTTTTGCATAATGAAAAACTCAGAAGCGGGTTTATTTAAAACAAGTGTTGCATTTTGTGCGTTCCTGTCCTGCTGCATTATTTATATCTCTCTCCTCCCTTTTCTCAGTGTGTACAAAAGGTCAAGTAGTGACGGGCCAGTACCGCCTGCTTGCCAAGCACGGTGGATACGTATGGCTGGAGACTCAAGGAACGGTGATTTACAATACGCGCAACCTCCAGCCTCAGTGTATCGTCTGTGTCAACTATGTGCTGAGGTAAGCTGTACGGGACAGAAAAACCACGTATGGATTCATGTGCTGGAAGAAATGCAGTAATCAGAGGAGCTTTTGAAGGGTCTATTTATTCAGTGTTGTTATTCTGAAATCAGTTTAGTCATGTTTGTTCAGTCTTGTTTACTGATGTTAGACATCGATGAAAAATGTGGCATGCCCGTTCCCATACACACTGTCGAAATACACCACAGCCTTTCCCTTCCGCAGCGTGGCTGCACTGCTGATACAACAGAGTATAAAGCCTGCCCTGAAGATTGTATTGTGTAACAGAACAGCTAATGTGTTTTGTTTTTCTAATGCTGTGACAGAGAGATAAAATTAAGTAGTAACTGTATCTTATGTTGCTAGGAGAAGCTGTTTACCGCCTCAAATCACAACCAATCAGGAGTTTCGCCTCTGTCTGGCAAAACTCAAGTATTTTTGGCTCCCATCTAGGACCAAAGTAGGAAATACTTACTTGAGTCTGGGTCATTGTAGCCTCTACTACATCCCTTTAAGAAGCAGAGCAACAAAGCCCTGAATATTCCCACAGAAGTCCTGACCACACTTTCTGCGTCATCCGAGATGGTGGTGCTCAGCAACGCTGGAACCGTGCCTCGCCTGTCGAGAGCCTGGCCTGTGACCAAGAGAGGCCAAAACACTTGTACAGGCCCCAGCTCTAGAGAGTTTGTACTGCCTACATAACCAGCATCTTTTTTTTTTAGAGTATAAAATGTCTAAAACCTATTTTCTTGTTAGTGAAATTGAGAAGAACGATGTTGTGTTCTCCATGGACCAAACGGAATCACTCTTCAAGCCTCACCTGCTGACAATGAGCACTGCCTATGAGAGCAGCATCCGCGGGACAGAGAAGAGCGATTTCTTGTTTACTAAGTTAAAGGAGGAACCAGAGGAACTTGCTCAGCTGGCACCAACGCCTGGTGATGCCATTATTTCCCTGGATTTTGGTTAGTATTTGTATAAATAATTTTTTGTGCAACAAAGAACCACATGTGAGCCTCCATTTAGAAACTTTAATAGACAAGGTGTGTTTGCTGTGTGTACAAACCAGGAGCAATGGCTGTAAGAGCCCACGTGCTCACACCAGTGGAAAATTTCTGTGAATGGGAGCAGAATCAGGCTTTCTTGCTGACTAAACAACATGCATTAAGTCTATGCCAACTTATTGTCATGGCAACTAGGAACAGTGTTTACTTTCAATGAATAGCTGCAATTATATCATAACACAGAACAACCTAAAAGCATCCATTAATATTGTTAAAACTCTATGCAGGGACACAGAAGTTTGAGGAAGCCCCTGCCTTCACCAGTGCTGTTTTGCCACCAAACAAAGCATGGCCAGTGGAAGTGAAAAGCCGCGCTGCTCAAGGTGAAACACTGACAATACCATCCTTTACAATGCCTCAGATTGCACCTGGCAGCAGTACTCCAAGTGCAAGCAGCAACAGTAGCTGTTCCACGGTAAGAAGAGCTTTTTTTTTTTAAAAAAAAAGCATGTTATGTTTTGTATGTAAGTCCCATCAATATATGTAGATGATGTTTTCATGTTACCAGTCCTGTCTCTGCTTATTAACAAGGCCCAGTGGATCTATACCCTTCCTATACTGCATATATCTTAAGCATCAACAGCAAAAACATCAAATGGGAATTATATCCTGCCTTTACATTGCAATCCTCATTTTCTCCCAGCTGTCCCTCAGTAGTTGCTATAACCTATGTAACAGCTACCAGAAGAATGTGCTACCATCTTTCATGGAGTTAGCCTTAAATAAAGAGCCAGTGTAAAATAGTGTGGCCACTAGCAACATCGCCCCACACCCCTTCTCTTTCTGTTTGTTAACTAGAGGCTATAGTCTTCAGGATGCTTACCCAACTCAGGATTTGGAGACCAGCTCCATGGAGCTCCCCACTGAAACAATGAATGTGGTTTCAGGGTGTTGCCCCCGAGACCTGGAACAACTCTTAGCCAGCCTTTACTAGAGGATGTCTAATCTTAAGAAAGGCATTGAGGTATTGCTAAGCGCCTCCATTCTTGACAGAAATATTTAATATTTAATCTCATGTTCCTGGTCTGACTTGCCAAGAAACATTTAACTTAAGAAGACAACTAGGTTCCTTTATTGGATGCCTGTGTTTTGTAGTGACAAGTAAAAGTAATCTTGTGTTGGAGGAAAGGATACAATAGAAGCAGAGAGTTTTGGGTTCTGAGGACACTATATACAGTCTGGCCATTTGCTTTTCACAGGAAAGGTCTGTAACTGAATAGTACCATATAAATGGCATGATGGCAACCACCATCTGTGGTTGTCTTTCTGCTTATAGCAAATTCTTATTTCTGTGCAGCCAAGCAGCCCAGGAGATTATTATAGTTCTGTGGATGAAGATTTTAAGATTGAGGTGATTGAAAAACTTTTTGCCATGGACACAGAATCAAAAAGTCAGTGCACCTCCCAGGTAAGTAACTAATATCTCTTCCAAAAGCCAGGTAGTACAGATGCATGCTGTATTCGCAGATATCATGATATAACATGCAAACTACATTTGCACATATACACTAAAGCTTTGATGCACAACACTAACAAAAACATGCACTTTCAAAAAGCTGGAGTGTAAATTTCTATTCCTAACTCTGAAACAAGTGCTTTAGGGTGTCACTGTGGTGGCACTGCTAATAAGAAAGAAGCAGCAGCAGAGAGCTTTCAGAATTTGGAAGCTTCTGTAGACTGGATAAGGAATATAAGCAGCAGCAATTTTTAAAAAAATCTGACCTATTTTTTTTTAATCTGGCCTAATGACTAGCAAGTAAACATCCTTTCTAGAACAAAATATAAATAAACTAATTCTTGCAAAACATCAGAATGAGAAAGGAATGCCCCTCATAGCACATATCTCCTTTAACTACAAAATGAAAACTGTCCTTGTGGTTATATTCTTACCTCTTGAAGCATTTCAGAGATGTGACAATTACTTGCACATAAAGTTACATACAGTCTCCATTTCCTGCATTCTAATCAGGGTGTAAGTGTAGAAATTCCCTCTATAAATAACTCCTTTAGTTCTCCACTGTTATAACATTACATCAGTTGAGCTAGTGAATAAAAGGTGTAGGCCTGATTCAGCCCACCTAACTTGAGATACTTAACTGAAATGCCTTTGTTAAGAGCTTATACTTTATAGTTAAGAGAAAGGAACAGGCGTTGCTGGCTGGCAGCTCAGACCTTACACTCATCTCCTTCTTTTAGTCCTGTGAAAAGTTTGGGGTGACTGAGGCCCAAATGAGGTGCCTCAATTTCCTGGTACAATTTGCAGACTTAGGTTGTAGTCCAAGTCCTGAGGAAATTTCATTTAAGTCTGGACACAGAAATAGCAATGAAAGCAAGAGAAAGAGTGGACAGACAGAAGGAGAATGTGGATCGGGATCAAACTCAGCGCAAGACTTGACATGCGCAAACTTCAGTTTTGTTAGATGTAGCATCTGCTTGCCCAGGTGTGTCCCACTGTATCAGCAGCTTTGGTGGGAAAAATGAGTGTTAGAAAAGTGCCTCTGTCATGAGCTGACTGGTGGGCCAACATTGACTTCCCTCTCTCTTCAACTCTGGTCAAACACCAAGAGAAATTAATTTAAATATGACTAGTCCTTCAAGGGAAAAAAAACAGTAAAGACTGAAGTGCAATACTGTCCTTCCAACTACATTTTTTAAAGCTTTTGCATTTTTAGACACATTTTTTTTCAGGTAGTTGGATTATGAGAGAGCTGTGTTTTCTATTTGAGCACAAAAAAGCCTGAGGTTGAACTACATGCCACATGTTGCAGAGTCTCGGCAGACAAGTTATTCAAAGTGTAATGAAACACAAGATCTACTTCAGATCACAGCGATGTTGCAGGCTGCATGCAAGCTGCTTTAGCTAATACTGCTTCTGTGGGAGTTTTTTTTCTTTAGTTCGTTGTCTTACTTTGCTGCTGCTGATAGGATCAACATGTATGCTAGTCATAGAAATAAGACATCTTTGAATAGGAGCTGGCCAGATTCACGTAGGTAAATTTGGCATACAGTGATTTTTTTTCAGTTTCACTTCTACTAGTATTCCATATCACACTAACTGCCACAACTACTATTAACTAACTTCTAGTTTCTTTATGAACTTACTTTATCTTTGAGCAGACTGACTTCAATGAACTGGACCTTGAAACTTTGGCTCCTTACATTCCTATGGATGGAGAAGATTTCCAGCTCAGCCCAATCTGCCAAGAAGAACGTCCTCTCTCTGAAAGTGCACAAAATACCCAGCAGAGTCTAAGTAGCATGAGTACCATCTTCCAGCCCCTTGCTTCTCCTTCACAGAATCAGTTCCTCCCAGAGAAATATTGCCCACAGCTATCAAATAAAAACATTAACCCTGGTCACGGGTCCCTGTCGGTATTCTTCAGCGATGCCAGCAGGTCATCACTGCCACCGTACCATGACCAAGCCAGCACTCCCCTGTCTTCAATGGGAGGAAGACCAAACACCCAGTGGCCACCCGATCCACCATTAGAATATGTTCCTGCTAAATGGAGACTCATGAATAAATACTCAGGATCCCTATCAAGTTCCTCCTCAGGGCCACCATTACATTCTCCAAGCATGCCCATATATAAAAAAAGGTAACAAAGATTTTTTTTGTGGTATAACTGTTTTACTCAGAAAAGATTTTGAGGGATGAGGGAGGCCATAATCTTGAAAAATTCTTTTTCTCAATTCAGCTGGAATAAGTTGTTTTGATAGGCATCAGACTGCATCTCTGGGGAAATTAGTGTGGTGTTCTGCCAGTGGCAGCTGGTCTGGTGGAAGCAGAAGTGGGCTAATTTTTCATTGCCTGTAAGGATGCATGAATGGATTTCCTGTTGATCAGGTAAAAATTACCCCAGTAATTTTCCAAAGCCTGCTTGAATTATGCCATTTAAGAAAAAAGGCTTACTGGTCCAGCAGTAAGCTGGGACCCATGCGTACTTTCTTACCTAGCATATATTTTCTGCACAACAGAAAACAGGGTAGAGGGAGGGATGACAGTACATTTACTATTGGCATAGGTAAATACTACAACTAAGAGTTAAAACTACAGACTTTTTCCTACTACCCTTCCTCGCTTTGTTTGCTTTCTTACATATGTGAACAGTATGCAATGAGATTTAGATCGGAGGATACAGTCCTAGAAGTTTCCTGTCATAGCCAGAAGTTTCTCTGTAGCTCATTTGGTCTTTGGTGTTGGTCACACTAAAACATTCAGGAAGTATGGAAAATAGCAATGGTCATTTTAAAACATGGAGCTGTGCAGTTTGCCTGCAGTTTGCTTTCTGGGATTCCTTGTTGGCGGTGTCTGAATATGCGACTGGAAAGAGAAGCTTTGTCCCCAAACAGTAACCTCTGTATTCATATTTAGTATGCAAAGCAAGGGGACAGGCGTGGCTTTCAAAATCCTATCCTTAAAAATTGCAAGACTTTCTTTTCCACAGCATTTTTATGTCTGCCTGGAGATCCCAGAGGGTGTTTATGCTTGACTTTCATTACTCTTTGATCCCAAAAGTCAAAAGTTTCCAAAGCTTGTAGGATGACTAACAGAAGTACATAAAAACATTTGATGTTTGAGGTCTGTCCACTGTCATGTGTCAAAGACACCTTAAATGTCTTTAAATGAAAGAAAAATCCGTATAAATGAAGAAGATGGTTTAGATTTGCCTCCCTGCTCACTCATCAAGACATCTTTTCTCCACAGGCCCCTGGATGCTTTTGTGCAGCGAGGCATAGATGTAAACCCGGCAAGAATTGCTCTGTCTAACAGTTTGAAACTGAAGCGACAACTGGATTATGAAGAACAAGCGTTGCACCAGCTGAGTGCGGTAATCATAAGAAATACATCTCCTTCATAGCTTTGGACTCACCATGGTCATCAGTGTAATTATTTGTTTTGCTTTTCTTCACATTCTAGGGAGATCCATCCGTCATTAACCCATCTCACCTAATGTGGAAGAGAATGAAATTTCTCAAAGGGGAAAACTGCTCCTTGGTTACAGAGAAGAAGTCTCTCAGCACAAGTGTTCTTACTGGTAAGACAGAAGAAAGTGGTTTTGCAATGTTACATATAGAAACACAATTTTAAGACAGGTTGAATAGAAACAAAAACTCTTTCAAAAGGAAATGTAAATAAGCTCTGTAAATACTACACCAAGCTAAAATTAAAGATCAGATTGTATCAGTAAGAGCTGAATAATGTAAGAGTCATTTGATAACTACCAGGTAGATGGTTTCATGTCTGTTCACACCCTTGCTGTGGAGGTAAAAGAGATCAGCTTAATGGAGATGAGTTTACCTCGTGCTGATCCAAGGTGTGGACATATCAGAGCTAGAACTGATATAACATTTCTCTCTACAACACTGTGTTTCCTTACACAAGCATATCTTGGGTGCAATACTACTTCTAGAGCTAGTGCTGTTTCTGGACTTACTTTGTGACAAGATGTAGGTATGCCTACGCTGCGTGACCATCACATTGAGTATCACTTTGCTTTGAGTTAGTATTATCTACTATAATTACTACACTGGCTTAATTTATTTTCTTTTTTTTTTTTCCCTATTATGTAAATCAGATGAGTTTGTCTGTAACTCAAGAGGTCTGAGCCAACCAATAAATCAACTGCAGCAGCAGCAACAACAACCCACCTGTGGCAGTCCTGATGAGAATCTGAAAGCAGGAGCATTTCCCCCTCTGTTTTACAGTTCCCATTATCAGGACTATACTGTCCCGCCAGCTCATAAAGCGTCAGGTAAGAGCTGTCAAATACAGAAACTGGAAGGTGTTGGTATGTAGTTCCACTACTAATTCCATGAAAGAAAATGCCTAAAAAAATATGGAGGAGAGTGGTAAACCAAGAACCAAATATGCATTGCTTCATAGACTGAAAAATTAGTTCTGTTGTTTAGTGTGAAACTTCAATATTTACATTTGTAATATATGAGGAAAAATTATTTTTGCCCTTAATTTCAATTAAATGTAATACATTTTTACCTCAGAGGTCCAGTCATCCTCCATCCATACTCTTGTGATGGAATTCATTAAATTGTACTAAACAACTTCACTGTAGCATTGATATGGGAGGTTTGTAGGTTAGAGTCTTAACACATGCCTTCTAAAAGTTAAAACAATTAAAGGGGATATATATATATATATATAGATATATATAAAAATATATATCTCCCTTTTAATATATAAGGGGAGTGGGTGTCAATTTAGAAACTGTGTTGTTTACTACAGCTTTCCTCATCTGCACCAGTATAATTTTTCTCAGATTTCTCTAAATTGGGGGTGGAGGTGGAGGTGGAGGTGCACTTGTCTGTGTGACACACTTCTAACAGTTTAAGGCAGAGAGATGCATAGGTTTGCTCTGAACCTGTAACTGCTGGTGGTTTGAGGCACACTGACATAAACACAAAATTAAATTATAAGTGGTATAAACAGATGCAGGGAAGGAGGAAAGAAGACCTCTCTCTGGTCTCAGCACTATGACTTACTTCACTAATCTCTTCCAGGTATGACCAGTCGTCTGCTGGGACCCTCCTTTGAACCCTACTTGTTGCCTGAGTTGACAAGATATGACTGTGAGGTGAATGTCCCTGTTTTGGGCAGCTCTACGCTCCTGCAGGGCAGTGAACTGCTGAGAGCACTGGACCAGGCAACCTGAGCAATCCTGCAATAGTCCGTGGCCTATACTGTTCAAAACAGCTTCAGTTTTTAAATATATTTTTGCAAGTAGACAATTTCTAATACCAATACACTTTTACAGGATTTTACTTAGATATTGAACCTGTCCACATTACCAAATAGTGGCCTTTTGAAGTTACTCACTTTATTATTCATATTAAAGAAATACATCTACTGTATTTTCTCTATTGCAATTAAAGTATTGTTTAAAGAGTTTGATTACCCTCCCCTTATCTCATTCCTTGTAATTTATACTCTGAAATTTTCTTTAAATTTCATGCTAATAAAAAGCTGTGGTGTAAATGCCTCACCTTGTGATACTTTGGCTGCAGTACTGCAAAGATTTATTTTTATTGCCAAAGATGAAACAAATTTGATCTCCAACCACAGTTTTTTGTTGATCTGCCAAATTGAAATCCTTTGAGTCTTTCTGTTTTCCAGCATTTATCCTGTTGTAACTTTCATAACTTTTGGAAAAGCATACCAAGGAAAAATCCCAGCCTTCTGCCTCTCCCAACCCCTTCCCTTCATTTTTTTATACACTTTGTTGAAAGAAATGTGAATGGTGAACTGCAATGTTTGTGGGTATCTGTGAAAGTTGCACGTTGTAAGCTTTTTTCCTCAGAAGCAAAACACATTCTCAGCTGCCTTAACCTGGCTTAGCTCTACAGCCAAGGGAGTCCTACAGATTTACTCCAGTGGAGGATTTAGACCTGTGTTTTCATTTGTGTTGGGGTTTCTTATTTTGTTCTTTGTTGTTCCTTTTATTTTTTTACACAAAACAGTTTTGGTTTTGGTTTGGTTTTGTTTTGGGTTTGTTTTTTTTTTTTAATTTCTCTCTGGGTCAGTTGTTAATCATCTCTTGGTACTTTTGCTATATCTAGGACACAACAACTTTAAGAACTGTTTCTGCTAGAACTAGTAGCATTTGTTATAGTGTTGCTGATGTTTCGGGAATCTGACCAGCGGCCAGTACTAACACCTCTGATTAATATTAGCCTTTTTCATTTTACATGCTAGCCAGCAATGCAACTGCAGTGTTGAATCATGAAAACTAAAAGTTAAAGTAGCATTTCCCAGTATATTAGGCTAATTCAGTTATAAGTGGACAAAAATAATTAAGGATTTTGTAGTAAGAGGAATAGGTGGCACGCAGGTCTCTCATTTTTACTTGCCTTACTTTAATCAGTAGCTGAAATGTCATTAAAAAGCAGCCAGACATTTTCAGAGCTCCTTTACAACTATCTTCAGTTGTCATGCACATATTTAAAAAAATAAGAGTTTGAACATTTTCAAAGGCAAATGGATTTGAAAGTTTAAATTACAACATATTTAAACAGCAAAAATATTAAAGTAATAAAAGGCAGGTGCACAGTTCTGACTGGAAAATACATACAGACCTAGATATATGTTGGGATATACCATCTTGTTTCCTCCACTGGTATAGATCATCCTAGATTCATTGAAGAAAATGGAACAGTGGCAATGTACAAAAGGTAAAAATCTGGCCCAGAAATTTAGAACAAAGATATATTCTTTTGAGACTTCTGATTCTGCTGAAGCCTAGTTTATTAAATTGCTTTATATCTTGCACTGACACTTGCAGAGAGGGAGCCTTGGGTTCATTGAGCACTTCAGTGTTTGCTGTGTTAAGTGAATCTTAACCACACATACTTAGAAAAGCGGAAGATGTTTTGTTATTGGTACATAATGTAAAAAAAATATTATAGTCCCTATTGTAGGCAATCTTTCAGGAGTTTAATACCAAAAATAATCTATTCCTAAAGTTAAATTATTGCTGTGTGGAAAAAATGCACTGTAAGCATCAAAATCGGATGAAAATTGGCAAACCAGATTTGACAGATTTGCAGTGGCAAAGACTTAAAGGCTTCAAGGATTAAAGACACTTGAATACTGCTCTTGTTTCTTATTTGTGTAGTTTCAGCATTAAAAATGTTATACCCTAACAGTTTACTAAAACACTCTGAAAAAATATTCCATGTCTTAATATTAATCATACTTTTTATCATAATTATTTCGTAATCTATATTGCTGAATTCTTATTGACAATATTATAACTGTATGGGAACTTTAACTTGATAAGGAAATGTATTTTGACACTGATACCTTATTAAAGTATACTGATCCTAAATTCTCTGTGACTCGTTTGCTATGAATTTGTTACTTGTTGTATCATTGTAAAACAAAAGTATTTATTAAATTATTTATAGAAAATAAAGGTTTGCATTGATCTTTGAAGAACAAAAGAACAAAGGGAAGTTAGTTACCCACATCTGAGAGTTGGGAAGTAGCCTGACAAAGGTCTGTACCACCAACCTTTTTGTAGAGTTTACCACCCAGCTTTGCACATGGAGAGTTCAGGCTGTGCAGACTGCCCTTCGGAAACATGCTGTATGGTTTGGAGCACTGCTTCCATTTCAAATTGTATTTCTGAAAATTAAGTTGACAAAATGACATTTCAGAGGCTTGAATTGCCACAGTTAGTTATCCACTTCAGTGTTTATGGCAGTAACGTAAACCATCATATTCTGGCAGTCCTGACAAGCCCATGAGTGATGGACTTACTTACTTTCCCCACCCACCCACCTCGTCCTTTATCTGCTCTTAATGCTGCTGTTAAACATGCCAATTCTTTTCCACACAGAAAGTGCAAGCTTTGCCTGTGTGCTAACACTGATTATGCTGTAGAAGGATGGACATGTTAAGAAATTAATTTCCAAACATGCACTTAAATTCAGATTGGACTCTGTGGAAGCTGTTGGTGCTTGACCCTTTGGATAACTGCTTTTGAAACACACAGTGCTCATACAGACACAGCTGAGCTCCTTGAACCACAGCAAATCTTCGGAATAAGCTGCAGAAGTGGGCTATCATTGCCTCCTCAGGGGAAGGTAACTCCTTGCTTCTAAATCTGTTGTAATTAACAGTAATTGTACTACGTCCAGCAGTGAGGACCAAATGGTGGTGTGGTATGCTGGTTACCCTCCCTTTCAAAGCATCCCGTTGATCTTCAGGACACTTGGACAAAGACTAACTCAGCATGTCAGATCTTTATCCAACTGAGAGTTAAAAATAAAGCTTAAGTACAGTTTAACCTGTTCAGATCAATTTCTGGCTTTTAAAGGTTGTAATCACTGACTCCTACTGTAAAATAGTGCTGCCAAGCACTATTTTTTGGGTTATTCTCATTCTGAATATTTCTCTCATGCTGAAGAGCTTCAAGTAGTCACCACTCCCTTGTTCAAGTAGCTTTAGGAACTTATTAGTAGTACCTTCAGCTTCCCTCCACCCCTCCCTTTCTACTGCAGCTAAACACTTCTCATATTAATGAGTTTTAGTGGTTTTAATACATATGAATGTTCTGGATGGCTACCTAAGTAAGTTCTGACATTGCAATTTATGTACCCAAAAGAACCAAATCCTGGTTAGACACATAATACCATAAGACTGCACAATAGCTGAGCTTTGTTCTGAACAGGAGTTTATTACAGCTTTTTAAAAAATGATGATTTTTTTTCCCCCCAATAGGACAACAGAAGTGCTTAAAATTAAGGGTACATCATCTTTCACTGCCTAAAAACACCACTTCTTGGCATCAGGTCTTGCATCTCCAACAGCATAGAGAGAACTGATCACAACTAGGTTGTTCAACTCTAGGTATGTGATGCTGAAAATCAAGCAGCTTTGCAAATCCTGGGGCTGGTCTCAGTCTCCGGCTGATTTTCAAGGCTATTATCTTTTTAAAATGATCAAGCCAACATTCTTCCTCGACCACAGATTTTATGCAGGTAAGATTGATGCTGTTTCTCAAATAAATGGTTACAACAGAACACTCGAGGAAATTCACAACATCCTGGTTTATATTATGATTACTAATAAAACTGCAAAAAAAGCCCAGATAACCTGGAGCAAAGTCCAACTGTCGTTTAAGTCAAGACACCAGCTCTTAAGCAGTACCGAGATCTGCGGACAGTAGGTGATTGGTCATGCTTGCCTGCAACACGAGCAGAGCAGAGGTAGACACTCAGTCTAGCACACAACTACTCCAGTTCTAGATGGTGAAGGTTTCATCTGTTACTTCTCTCTGAGGAGACTTATGAAGCTACTCACAGAAAATGTCAGATTTTTTTTTTTTTTAGAGCTACGTGGGAGAACTAGAAATATTAACCTACATTTCAATTAAATTTCAATAAAGAGCGTTCTTTTCTTTCTTTCCCCCCCCAGCCTTTTTATATATTTCTTCCCAAGAGAGGAAGAAAAAATTTCTAAGAAAAAGGAAAATCTTTAACAATATTTTCTTAGGACAACAAAAAAAAAAATCTGTCACACATCCTGGTTCTGCTCCCTTGGCACAAGCCAACACCCAGCACAACAGCCGCCTTTCGGTTATCTGGGGCTGCCTGGGAGCTCACCTTTGCCCACAGGGAAGGCAGGCATAGGAGGAGCTCTGTTCATTGTTGCTTTCCTTAGTCAACTGAAGCTAGAAAAGCATCATAGGAAGGTTCTAGTAATTGGTATGTACCCCATTTTGGGGTGTTCACATTAAAAATGGCTTCAAATTAAAAAAAAAAATTTTTTTTTAAAAGAGTAAAACCTTAGCTACTCAGTTTGGAAGCATCATCAACATTTCTTTTGCCTGAAAGCCAGCCTGCAGTTTTGGCAGCTTGTAATGTGCCACAGGTCTCACATGGAACATTTTCCTTGAAGAAGTCCTAAATTCCGTAATCAAGTAGTTACTTAATTCTCTTCACTCATGCCTCTCAATTAGTAATGTGGTAACACATGGTTAGGATGTCTCATCAGGGAGCAGAAGCACAAGCATGAACCTGGTTTACAAGGACTACCTGCAAGCCAGCCACCACCAGCTGCTACTGCCTCTGACACTGGACAGCAAGTGGCAGCCAGAGGCCACAGCAGTTGTGTCACCCCCTGTGTGCTACCTGCTATGGAAATCGCTGCACCTTAACCGCCGTGGCTGGAAGGACTGTGTAGACTTGGGTCGTGTCTCAAAATCCCAACTCCCCTTAGTTTCATTAAAAAAATTTAAAAAGCAAGCCCCCAAACTCCCCCCTTGAAAAGTCTGTGTTTAGGCTGTGGAATTACAGACAAAGCTGGCAAGTTAGATCCTCAAAGGCACCAGCACCAGAAAACAAAAGTGAACCCTCCCAGGTATACTTTTTAAATTACATTATTTATAAGCTAATGATTCGGGGTCTGACTGCTGGTCTTTGAAGGACTGGCACTGGCTGGGTTTTGCAAGAAAAAGCA